TTTGGTTCTCTCAAAGTCCGGTCATCTCACTGTTCACAGATTTTTGTGTTCATCAACAAAACAGAGACCGCTGGAAATTCCTACAGGTTTGATACTTTAGGCCGATTCTATTTCAAAAGCCAACAAGTGGTATCAGAGCCGGTGTATGCCTAAGTACCAACCAAGATCTGAAGAGATGACGAGTTCGGAGAAGATGACGACCAAGGTGGGTTCGCTCACTCTTCAATACCCGACGTTATCGAGGGACAACTATGCTTCGTGGGCGATCAAGATGAAAGTCTACATGAAGGCTCAAGACGTGTGGGATGCCATTGAGCCCGCGGCAGGCGCGTCCGTGGAACACAGGAAGGATCAGATGGCGTTGGCGGCCATCTACCAGGGGATTCCTGAAGAGACTTTGATGGTGATCGCAGAGAAGCAAACGGCAAAAGAGGCATGGGAGACGTTGAAAACTATGCACCTAGGAGCGGATCGTGTGAGGAACGCGAAGGTGCAGACCTTGAAGTCCGAGTTCGAACTTCTCCGGATGAAGGAGAATGACAACGTCGACGATTTTTCGACGAAGTTGACAGGAGTCGTCAACAAGATCCGGGCTTTAGGCGGCGAGATGGAGGAGAACTACGTCGTCAGAAAGCTACTTCGGGCGGTACCGGAGAGATTCCTTACCATCGTCTCCACGATTGAACAGTTCGGGGACATCGACGACATGACACTCGAGGAGGCGATCGGGCGCCTCAAAGCCCACGAGGAGAGGGCACGTGTTTTTCGAAACAACGTCGACGATCACCTATTGTTGACGCATGCGGAGTGGCAAGCAAGGAGCAAGAAGAATGGCGGAGGCTTCCTCTCAACACCTACAACCAATGATGGCAGCGGTCGAGGACGAGGTCGCGGGGCCGGTCGTGGGCGTGGCCGTGGCCAAAGAGGCCGAGGCGGACAGCAGCACCACGGCAGCGGGCAGCAGCACCACGCTGCCCAAGCAGGCCGCGGAGGGGAGCACGGCGGCCAGGCAGGCCGAGGCGGCTTCGGCGGCAGAGGAGGACGTCCAGGAGGTGGTTTCGGCCATGGAGGTGCAGCTCGCCAGGAGGGGGAGAGTAGCACAAGCGGTGGTCGAGACAAGTCCAACATTAAATGCTTCAATTGCGGAGTATACGGGCACTTTCAGTCGGAGTGTCACAAGCAACGCCGCAACCATGAACAGGAGGCTCATCTCACCCGTGCATATGACGAGGAGCCAACCTTGATGATGACTATGTTAGAAGAATCGTCAAGTGTTATTTTGCTTAATGAGGAGAAGGTGATGCCGGATTTACTTACAGCGGGGGAGGCACATGTTGACAACAACACTTGGTACCTTGACAACGGAGCTAGCAATCACATGACCGGCCACCGAGACAAGTTCAAGGAGCTCGACGAGAACATCAAGGGAACCGTCAAGTTTGGTGATGGATCCGCGGTAGAGATCAAGGGGAAAGGCTCTATCCTCTTTCAGTGCAACAACGGCGATCAAAGGCTACTACCTGAGGTATATTATATTCCAAGTTTGAAATCTAACATTATTAGCCTTGGTCAGATGACTGAAGATGGAAGCAACGTTGTTATTTCTGGTGAGTTCCTGAGGGTGTTTGATAGGAACGGTGCTCTCTTGATGAGGGTGACACGTTCGACTAACCGATTGTACAGGATAGAGTTAAAGACTTGCAAGCCGGCGTGTTTGATGGCGAACATTAACGATCCAGCTTGGTTATGGCATGCTCGCCTTGGGCATGTCAATTTCTTCGCCCTCAAGATGATGACTGATAAGAGGATGGCTTCCGGATTGCCGAAGATCTTGCACCCGAATCAACTATGCGAAGGATGCCTTGTCGCCAAGCAAGCAAGACTGCCGTTCCCTTCGCAAGCAAACTTCAGAGCTCAGAGGCCGCTGGAATTACTACATGCTGACCTATGTGGTCCTATCACCCCATCCACACTTGCGGGTAACAGCTACTTCCTTCTTATTGTTGATGATTTCAGCCGATGGATGTGGGTATACATGTTGAAGGCCAAGAGTCAAGCTTGTGAAACCTTCAAGAAGTTCAAAACAGAGGTTGAGAACGCGTGTGACCACAAGGTGAAGACATTGAGGACGGATCGTGGTGGCGAGTTCTTGTCAAAGGAGTTCACCAAGTTTTGTGAAGACTACGGCATCAAGCGTCATCTCACTGCATCGTACACCCCACAGCAAAACGGTATAGTGGAGAGGCGTAACCGCACGGTGATGGACATGGCGAGAAGCCTACTTAAGAGCATGCATATGCCTGGAACCATGTGGGGCGAAGCGGTTAGGCACGCGGTGTACATCCTCAACCGACTACCAACCAAGGCGTTGTACGATCACACACCCTACGAAGCTTGGTTTGGTAAGAAACCCCACCTAGAACACTTGAGAGTTTTTGGATGTATGGCGCATGTGAAGATTGCAGGTCCTTCGCACAAGAAACTCGACGACCGGAGCACGCCAATGGTGTATATTGGGGTAGAAGAAGGAAGCAAAGCGCATCGCCTCTACGACCCTCAACACGGCAGAATTCATGTCAGCAGGGATGTCGTGTTCGAGGAAGGAAAAGAATGGCAATGGAGCGCAGATGGAGACGTAGAACCACTCAGCTGGGTAGAGTTCGCAGCGGACCTAACTGGACGGAGTTCACAGCGGAAGGGGAGACCACAACAGCCGGCGGAGTTCCAGCGCTCCAAACTGGAAAGAATGCGGCCCGAAGCGGGGAACCTCTGGCTGGCCGAACCAGCGCGCTGCAGCTGGGCGCTGCTGCTGGTCGCGCTGCTGCTGGTCGCGCTGCTGCTGGTCGCGCTGCTGCTGGTCGAACAGCTCCTGCAGGAGCTCATGATGCCGCGGAGCTGACCAGAGATGAGACTGGACAGCCGGCACACCAAGCGAGGCAGCCACCTGCTGCCCGAACCAGTCCGCATACACCCGTAGGTGCAGCAGGCCGAACCAGTCCAAAAATTCCTGCAGGTCCAGAAACTGATGCCAGGACAGCGAACCCAACTGTTTTGGACGCGTTCGGACCTCCTGAAGCTGCAGTGATGACTCCTGTACGCTATCGATCCCTTGCGGACATCTATGCGGAGACGGAGGTGATTGATCTCCCTGCAGAGGAGTTGTTCATGATCTCAGAAGAACCTGCAAACTACATTGAGGCTGCAATAGATCGAGAATGGCGGACTGCCATGGAGAAGGAGATGGAGGCCATCGAGAAGAACAAGACTTAGATACTCACGGAGCTACCGCGAGGTTCTAAACCCATTGGTCTCAAATGGGTGTACAAGCTGAAGAAGGACAATGAAGGCAACATCCTCAAGCACAAAGCAAGACTTGTAGCAAAAGGATACGTCCAGCAGCAAGGCGTGGACTTCGATGAGGTGTTTGCACCTGTGGCGAGGCTTGATACCATCAGAATTATCCTCGCTATATCAGCACAGAACGGGTGGGAGGTGCACCATTTGGATGTGAAGTCGGCATTCCTAAATGGTGATCTCCAGGAAGAAGTGTATGTGGTTCAACCTGAAGGGTTCGTTGTGAAGAATCAAGAGCACAAGGTCTACAAGCTTTCAAAGGCACTCTACGGTCTACGCCAAGCACCTCGGGCATGGAACACGCGCCTCGACAAGTGCATGAAGGGCATCGGATTTGCAAGATGCACTCAGGAGCAGGCGGTATACACAAGGAGTAACAGAGGGGATACACTCATTGTTGGCGTGTACGTAGATGACTTGATCGTTACGGGCTCGAGGGCGGATGAGATAAAGCTTTTCAAGCAACAAATGATGAAGGAGTTCGAGATGAGTGACCTTGGATTACTTTCTTATTATCTTGGCATCGAGGTGGATCAGCGAGATGATTGTATTGCACTAAGGCAGGCGGCCTATGCGAAGAAGGTTTTGGGTCAGTTCGGCATGATGGATTGCAACCCGACGCAATATCCTATGGAAACAAAGCTAAAGCTTGGAAAGGATTCCGAAGGAACACCGGTGGACGTGACGGAGTATAGACGCATTATCGGATCTTTGAGGTATCTAACTCACACCCGACCCGATATCACATATGCCGTGGGGATTGTGAGTAGGTACATGGAGCACCCTACAGTTTTGCATCGACAGGTTGTCAAGCATATTTTGAGGTACGTGAAGGGTACTATGTCCTACGGATTGGTGTACAAACGAGGTCGAGGCAATGAAGAGTTGGTGGGATTCACTGACAGTGATCTTGCGGGAGATGTTGATGACAGGCGCAGCACAGGCGGCATGGCATTTTATCTAGGTGACAGTTTGGTCACTTGGACATCACAGAAGCAGAAGACGGTGGCATTATCATCCTGCGAGGCAGAATTTATGGCGGCAACTGCAGCAGCGTGCCAAGGTTTGTGGTTGAGGAGTTTAATCAGCGAGGTGATTGGGAGTGAGCCCAAGCCGGTCACACTCTTCGTCGACAACAAGTCCGCGATTGCCTTGATGAAGAATCCAGTTTTCCATGGAAGAAGCAAGCATATCGACACACGTTTTCACTTCATTCGTGAGTGTGTTGAGCGAGGACAGATTAAAGTGGAGTTCGTGAGCACGAGCGAGCAGCGAGCGGATATTCTCACGAAGGCACTAGCAAGGGTGAAGTTCATCGAGATGCGGGAGCTACTAGGAGTAAGGGACTTGGAATCTCGTCCAGATTAAGGGGGAGAATGTGAGTTGTAATCAGTCCAAGGATTGTTAGTTAGTAGAATTCTAATTAGAGTAGAATACTAGTTAGTAGATAGGTTTCTAGTTATTGGATAAGATTAGAATTGCAATCTTAATCCTATATATATATGTAAACAATTGTTGAGTTTAGTATAACGAAAATAAGAGAATATCAGAATTTCTCCACCGAAAATAAAACCTCTCTGTTCTCTTTTCCTCTCTCTGTTGTTGTTCGGCTATTTGCAAACAGGTGTTGTTCGGCTTCTTAAAATAATCAGCCAGGGAAGTTTTGGTTCTCTCAAAGTCCGGTCATCTCACTGTTCACAGATTTTTGTGTTCATCAACAAAACAGAGACCGCTGGAAATTCCTGCAGGTTTGATACTTTAGGCCGATTCTATTTCAAAAGCCAACACTTTGTATATTTATTATTGATTTGCTATCTTTCTATTCTCAAAGTTTTATTTTTCCCCACAATTAAACATGCACGTAAAAGTAGAGCCTACCTACAAGCTGAAGTATCAGTTTGCTTTTTTACCTTTTACGTGACATAATCTACTTAGGATGTATCATTCTCCGTATAAGATGAATAATCGAACCAAATTTTATTTATTTTATCATTTTCTATTTAGCTTTAGCATTGGCACCTTCCATGTTATGGATATTTATTTTATTAACAGTGATTCTGAAACTGAAAGAAACAAAGTAAGGTGGGTAAATATCAACTTGTTATCTTAAATTTTTCTTCTTTCTAATATGTGAGAATTTCAGGTATTTCCAGAATTATATGGTGACAATGATACACATCTAACAGCATACTGGCTGGTATGTAGTTCGATTTATTCACCATAAATGCGCAATGCATTATTAGTTTAAATGTTTTCTAATGTGTCATTTTTTTTATTAGATTGATGGGGATCAAAGTGATGGATGCTACAATCTTCAGTGCAAAGGATTTGTACCTTATAAACAATCAAAATACAAATTAGGAGCTAAAATTAGACCGCTGTCCACTTATGATGGAGATCAATATGATATTACTTTAAAAATATTCAAGGTAAGGTCTACCCTTGTTTTCTTTCTGTGGGGCTTTGCTAAGCAATAAAATAACATGTGGGAACTTGATTTTATTTATAAATTATACTGCGGAACATCTTTATGCTGTTAAACTTCAATATGGTAAATGCATGACTTGGTATTCTTCATTTATACTTTATGAAGACTGATGAAGATGGATCTGCGTCTCTTGCCGTTGTGTTCTGGATGTGCCTTATGCAATTTCATTCTTCACCGTGTCACTGTTTCATCATGAAAATTTGAAAACTATTCTTGGTTTTAAAAACGTTCTTTAAAATTAAAAACCTTCGGTACAGTAACACACTGCGAATATGCCCTTTGATGGTCAAATATATAATCTTCTGGCATAGTTATGTACTTCGATTTGTTTCTACGTATTCTCCAGTACCATATTTGCATAAAAGTTAATAAGGTCCTCAACTTAGTGAAGTTTTAAATTGTGGTGCACAGTATAAGATTTTTGTTTAATTTTGTAAACTACCTTTTAGCGTGTTTATTACGATAAATACTCAAGTACGATACCCCCGTTTATAATTTTTTCATATTTATTTCACAACTAAAATACATGCTATATATATCTTACGATTTGTTTTCGCTCGCTCGTTTGATCTACGAATTAGGATAAAACAACCGGAGACTGGGTGCTGCACGCTGGGCGCCGTGGGGACAAACCTATTGGCCACTGGCCGAAGTCTCTTCTGCCGTATCTAGAGGAAGCTGCTACTTTCGTCCAATTTGGTGGCGACGTCTCTTATCACCCCGGCGACAGGGCTCCCCCGATGGGAAGCGGCCATTCTCCTGATGACGGCGACAAGAGGGCAGCGTATGTTAAGGACGCTTTCGTGTTCACGCAGATAGACGCGGTTGCGGTTCCCTCACCGGACGTACTCCAGAGTAAACCGGAGTGTTATAGTTTCCCTTTTGGAGGATACCACGCGTATGCTCCGGCTTACGTTGGTGGTCCCGGTGGTTGTTCTTCTTAGAAATTATTATAGCATGCATATATAAACCCGTCAATAATAATAAGGCCGCTGTGGTTGCTTCCGAGAATTGTTTGCTTGTGTCGCCCTTTTGCTTTGCTGAGATTTATGTTTCCAGTGGTTGGTGATCAATTGGGTCTCTTGAAGTCTTTAGGGGGGGTGTTTAGTTGCTTGCATGCGATTGAGACGATATTGCAGCTCTTCTTATATGTAACTGCAGCTGTTATTGTTTGGTTCAAAATTTAAATTTTGCAACTAACTTGCAACTATAGCGGTTTGATTTTGCTGTAACTTAACATATACAACTTAATTTTTTACCGTTAATAAGTTATTAAAGTCTATTAGTTCTCTTCACACTTTTAAAATACTTATTTTTTTCAAACAATGGTTTTTATTATTAAGTAAACTGGCTTTTAAATTTTAAAACAAATTTTGTAAGATAAAAATTTTTAAATAATATTTACTAGAAGAATTATTTTTAAAAATATAATATACTTTTGTAAAATAAAATAATTTATAAAATAATTTTCTGCTAAAAATATAGCCTTGTAAATGAATTTCAGCGAAAAATAATTCTTTTCATAATATTTTTTGAAATAAACGCTTGTAATTGGACAAATTTGAGCTAGTTGTAACCACTCAAATTACAAGCTACCTAACATCCCCTTAGTCACTCTAGTTTCATAGTTGGTATCATGATGATATTAGATCGTGGGATGGTGGAATGACACATGTCACAGATCACTAATTTTTTTTATCATAGATATCATTTATTAGAAACTGTTGGTATTGACATTAGTTCAGCTACTTAGAAGCAAAATTTATAAATGAACGTATATATACGTATCTTAAGGGAGTAATATGAAAGAACGTGAGGGACTCACTATGATTGGGGCTGAAATTGTAGGGTTTTAAGAAATTAGTACCTTTAATCTTACATAATGCATATTAGTCCCAAAAATCTTAAAAATTGTGTATTAGATCTTTGAATCCTATAGGATCTTGCAAAATGGTCCTTCAAGTTAAATCACATTAGATTTAAGGGGAATATTCTGCGAAATGTAATGGTTAGAGGCAAAGTGATCATTCTTGTCCTGTTTTGCCATTTCTTAATGGGTTTAACCTTTTACCTGCATAAAAAAACTCAAACCAACTTAATTTTCTGTTTTTTTTTTTTTTGAGAGAGAAAGGATGGATTATTGTTAATCATAACAGTAATCGAGCCAGCTAAATTAAAGATACTTGGTTGTTAAATAGAGATACACATCCCCAACCAAGAAGAATGTAAACTCAAGTTCCCAACTTGATTTTCTTATTCTCCAATGTTTAAAAAAGAACCCTAAAGCAAAGTTCTGCTTCACAAGAACTTGAAACATTAGAGAGAGGGGTGATTTGGTAATTATAGATATTGGTTTAGGACTTAATACAGCCATGATTTGATTTTATATAATCATGACGGTAAAGATAAAGTTGAGGGGAATTAATATAATGCAAAATTATTCTTTGGATAGGATTATTCTTTTAGGATAGGATTATTCTTTGTGTAGACAGTAAATATAATGATTTAACATTTGCAAATTATTAGAAAAAAATTTTGGAATGAAAAATTCTTGATAACAATTCAAACAAGCGAATTAATATAATGCAAACAAGGTAAATACAAAATAAAAAATTACAGAAGAAATGGAAATGATGAAGGGAAAAAAGAAGAAATATTGGAAAAATGTACATTAGTAGAAAAATGAACAAACTAGTCGGAACAAACTAGACGAGAATTTTTTCCGTCTAATTTGAGGCAAACTAGACGGAAAAAAATCCATATAGTTTGTTCTGTCTAGTTTGAATCAATCTAGACGGAAATTTCCGTCTAGATTGACAAACTAGACGATTTTTTTATTTTTTAAATAATAATCAATCTAGACGGAATTTCCGTCTAGGTTGCATCAACCTAGATGGTAATTCCGTCTATATTGCCTAAAAAAATTTACGGATCTCCCCCTCCTTTTTTTTATTTCCCTGCCTATTTTTTCATTCCCCCGCTTAATTCCCCTCTCCATCTAAAAACCCACAAATTGGCCAAATCCCGAAATCTCTCTCTCTCTCTCTCTCTTATCCCCTGAAGACCTTTCCCCATTCCTTATTCGCCATTCTAATAGCCAAAAACTCGCCAACGATGAGATCTCCGATCGCGGAGAAGCCCTGTTCCTCGCCGTTGCCGCCGACACCCTCATCGCTGGTGCCCTCCTCATCTCTGCCTTCCTCCGAGGCGGTGACCGCTCCCTCCTATCCTCCTCATCTCCGCCTTCCTCCGATCCAAC